AGAGAGAGAGAAAGAAAGAAGAGGAAGAGAGAGAGAAATAAAGAAGAGAAAGATTCTAGTTACTTAGTTACTCCTTCTTCCCTCACTTTCTTTTTCAACACCACTCTACCCTTACCCTCCTCCTCTTCTTTCTTTTCTCTCCCTTTTTTTGGTGCTACCAAGGAATGACCCCAGGGACACTACCAGTGAGCTATATTGTCAGTCCTTTTCATTTTTTTTCTGAGATAGGGTCTCACAAAGTTATCCAGGCTGGCCTCAAACTTGCAATCTAAATAGCTGGAATCACAGGCATCTTTTTTCTTTCTTAGTTAAAAATGTTTCGATTTTACCTTGGAAATAGTATTTTTGGATCCAGTTAACAATTTTACATTGTGTGAAATTCTATTTATGGCCTTGCATTTTGCTCGCCTCTTATCCCAGGGGTTTAGGAGGCTGAGGCAGGAGGATCCAGCTTTCAAAGCCAACCCCAACATCAGTGAGGGGCTAAGCAACTCAGTGAGATCCTGTCTCTAAATAAAATACAAAAAAGAGCTGGGCATGTGGCTCCGTGGTTGAGTGCCCCTGAGTTCAATCCCCAGTACTCACCTCCTGCCAAAAAAATGGCCTATAGAATCTGCATGGTGCCTAACATTCAATAAACATTCTGCAAATGGTGTTTTGATTGTCATTTTATTACTTCAAGAAAACCTTAAAGTTTTTAAATATTTCTTGAGAAATAAAATGCTATACCCATTATGCAGATAAGGTAAGTGATCCACAAAGCTGTTAATACATGGCATAATGGATTTTGAACCAGGGCAATTTGACTCCAGTACCTACCCAGCATAAAACATTATACATAATCTCGGTTTTATAAATGATAAAACATAGAGAAGATAAATCACTTTCCCAGCAAATAGTTAAGAAAAGTCTAGATCCCAGGTTTGCCTGACACCAAATTTCAGGTCTTAACCTCTCTTGTATACTTTAAAAAGTTAGGAAAGAGAATTTTCATGTAGACACTAAGGAAGTTTGGACATGAAATCTTGTTGCCTGTATCTTGCAGCTCCAAAACCAGTTGTGTATTTGCAGCATGGCTTAATTGCATCTGCCAGTGACTGGATCTGTAACCTCCCCAACAACAGCTTGGCTTTCCTTCTGGCAGATAATGGTTATGATGTATGGATGGGGAACAGCCGAGGAAACACCTGGTCCAGAAAGCATCTGAAATTGTCACCCAAGTCCTCAGAATACTGGGCGTTTAGGTAAGGGAAAATGTGTTAATGAATGAAGTGTGTACCTTGCTCATTTATATGCAAGAACACTTGTTGATTTTTCCTTTGGTCTCAATGCACCCAATAGAAACCATGAGAAGGATAAATCTTATTATTTTGTATTGCTGTTTGGTTCTCACCCTCACCTCTGCCTTCCTTCTGTGTGTGTGTGTGTGTGTGTGTGTGTGTGTGTGTGTGTGTGTACGCCAGCATGCCAGGGCCGGTGCCTCCTGATCACAGAACAGTTAGAAGAGAGAGCTGTCAGGAGCAGTGCCTGGGGTGCTGTCTGCTTCAGAAGCCTGTCCTGCTTCTTTACAGCGACAAACCCATGCACTTGCATAGGAGCTAAGAACCATGCCTTGGAGGTCACCAGAGCCACTTTTTCCTTACCTCATTCCTGCCTTCCTTTTGGAAACCAGTTTGCATTTCCTTATTCCACACCACAGGGTGGTTCTGTCATTGCACTATAGCAAGTGACAAGATGATTTCCTAGGTGAGTATTTCCCAAACTATACACAGAATCAAGAAGCACCTGAGGCCACAAAGAGACACATCACCAGGACTCTTCCCGGGAATTGGATTCAGTCCAGTCTGGGCTAAGGTCTATGAATCTGTTTGATTTATTATTCTAAATTTTAGATGAGCATTCCAAAATTGTTGTCTTTTCTTTTCCTTTTTTTTTTTATTTTTGGTAAATCTGCTGTGAGAGTAAATGAAATAGGACTAGGTTTACAGGAAAAGTTTAGTAGTCCTTTACAAATTAAATTTCTCTGATTCCCGTTTGTTAAAAATGTCTAGTCAAATCAAAGTAAGATCCTGGAAAAAGTTTTTCAGATGCATAATATCACATATTAACTCTAGTTTCATATTTTATAAAAGCAGAGTATCTATGTCTAAAATGAATATTAAATATTGCAGGTATAAAATGAGATAGATTTTCCAATTTTATTGTTCTTTTTTTTTTTTGGCAGTTTGGATGAAATGGCTAAATATGACCTTCCAGCCACAATCAATCTAATCATAGAGAAAACTGGACAAGAGCAACTCTTCTATGTGGGCCACTCTCAGGGCACCACCATAGGTGTGTTTGGGGTCCATGTGATCAGAGAATACGGGAAGGAGTGGGGGCTCTTCCATATTTCTGAACAGGGTCAGAATCTCTCTGCAGAGTCTCTAGTTTGGGAACTTTAAAAGGGCAACAATATCCTCTGGCTGTTTTCTGAAAACAAGGATGACAATAAGGAATTTTTTCCCAACATTGAATTTTGGAGGTTGATAGGTCTGAAAGAGAGAATTACTTTGTTTATTCAATTATGTATCCAATGAATATTTGTGAGAATTTGGGTTACATACTGGGGAAGAGGGGATAAATATGATATCCATCCTTCCTTTGATGATCACAGTCTAGAAAAGGACACAAAAAAGAAAGTAGAGAATTACAAAATTGTGATTGTATTTTACAATCAATGTGGCTTTTGCCTGCCAGGGAAGCACAGGTAGGCTGGATGTGGGTAGGGCCATGTGGGTAGAACCATGAGGCACCTCATCCTCTCTCTGTCTGTTTCTCTCATTGGAAACTACAAACATCAGAGACCAATATCTATATTGCACAAATAGTTGAATTTAAGATTTTTTCCCTAATTTCCAATCCTCACTAGCACTCGCTATCTTTTAATGTTGACAATGCCAAGTAATACCTTAAGATATATATATATATATATATATATATATATATATAATTTAAGAATAAGATATATATATATAATTTAAGAATCCTTAGAGGATGATTTATATATAAAATTTGAATTATCCATTTATATATATTCATATCTGTGTATTCATATATATGAATCATTCTAAGGATCCAATTATCCTAATTTACAGATTGAGTAAACTGAGACTCATTCTGGAGAGGTAACTTTCACACAGCTAGTGAATGTGAAGCCAAGTGTGACTTTGTCTGACACCAAACCACAGTCAAGCTGGAATGATCCTTGGGTTTAACCACACTTCACAGAGAAGTGTGAACCCTCTCTTCCACTCCTATATAAGTAGACCTGGGATGAAAGAACTCACTTGGTTCTGAATCAGTCATTCTCATCCTTGAGAAACTTAGAAATTCCTCCTCACAAATGGTTATTACTCTGAGTTGTTTTTTGTTTTGTTTTTCCTGTGGCTACCTTTACTATCACTTAAAATAAAGAAGTAATTGTTTTAAAGCTATGAACTAGTGTCTAATTCACTTTCAGCTTTCATTGCATTCTCTACCAACCCAGAACTGGCTAAGCGAATTAAGATATTTTTTGCACTGGCACCAGTTGTCACGGTGAAGTACACCCGAAGTCCTATAAAAAATTTAACAACTCTTTCCAGGCGAACCATCAAGGTATGTCACTTCCCAAGTAAAAGTCTGAAATAATATATAAGGTCCCACTGATTTCAAAAGAAGACAAATGACAATTTACAGACATCTGAAAATATAATAGATGTCTGAGGTATCCTTGTCGGTTTATTGATAAGGAATACTTTTATTAGCAGGGTTCAGGGAGCTCATTTTGATGCCATTCTACCCTGGTGTCTTCATCTATGTCTAGAAGTTTCTCTCTCATCTCATCCCTCAATCACAGCTAAAGTGGGAGCTGATTTGATTGATTGGTTGTTGGTTTGAGGAACTTCTATAGTGTCTTCCATAATGGCTGTACTGATTTACATTCCCACCAATCCTCACCAGCACTCGCTATATGTTGTCCTTTTGGTAATAGTTATTCTAAGTGGAGTGAAGTGATAACTCATTGTGGCTTTAATTTCCATTTCCCTGAAGATGAGTGACGTTGAGCATTTTTTCATACACCTGTTGGCCATTTGCATATCTTCTTTTAAGCAATGTATATTGCCTATTTTTAAAATTAGATTATATTCTATTGACTTGAGTTTCTTACATGTCCTGGATGTTAATCTCTTGTTAGATGAAATCTGAGAATATTTCTCTTGTTGTGTAGGTTGTCTTCTCACTCTGTTGATTGTTTCCTTCACTGTGCAGAAGCTACTTAGTGTGATGCAATGTCTAGTGTCTATTTTTTTCCTGTGCTTTTTGGGTATCAAATATATAAAAAATCCTTGCACATTCCAATGTCCTAAAGTATTTTCTCTGTGCTTCCTTTTATGAGTTTCAGTTCTTGCATTTAAGCTTTAATCTATTTTGAGTTGATGTTTGTATATGGTGAGAAATAGAGTCTAGCTTCACTCATCCACGTGTGGATGTCCAATTCTCGCAGCACCATTTATTGAAGAAGCTAATCTTTCCTTAATGCGTGTTCTTTGCACAGTTGTTGAGATTAGTTGGCTATGGATGTGTGGATTTACTTTTAGGCTGTTTACTTTGTTTCATCAGCCTATGTGTCTGTTTTCATACCAATACCATCCAGTTTTGATTAAGATACTTTTACATTTTGAAGTCTGGTAGAGTAATGCCTCTTGTTTTAGTCTTTTGCTGGAGATTGCATTGGTTTTCTTTGCATCTCTATATGAACTTTAGAATGTTTCCTAGTTTTGTGAAGAATGTCATTGGTATTTTAATTAGGATTTCATTAAATCTGCAGAGTTCTTTCAGTAGTATGTACACATTAACAATATGATTCTTCCAATCCATGAACACAAAATATCTATTTTTTTGGTGTCCTGTTCAATTTGTTTTCATCAGTGATTCATCATTTTCATTGCAGAGATCTTTTATCTCTTTGGTTAAATTTATTCTAAGACATTTTAATTTTTGTAGCTATTCTAAATGGGATTACCTTATTTCTTTTTCTTCTTTTCTTTTTTAGATAATTCTCTACTTGTAGGTAGAAACAATATTAGTTTTTACATGTTAACCGTGAATCCTACAACTTTGTCAAATTCACTTATTACTTCTAATAGACTTTTGGTGGACTCTTTGGTGAGTCTTTTTTTTTTTTTATAAGATTGTATCATCTGCAAATAGTGATAATTCAAACTTGTCCTTACAAATTGGATGCCTTTTTTTTGACTAATTACACTATCACATTGAATTATAATGATGACAGGAAACATGCCTGTCTTGTTTCAGATCTTAGAGAGAAAGCTCTCCATTTTCCTCATTCAGTATGGTGTTAGCTGTGGTCTTTTTACATATGGCTCTTATTACATTGAGTTACATCCCTTTTATACCTAATGTGTTCAAAGTTTTTATCATGATGTTGAATTTTTTGAATGCTTTTGCTCTATCCATTGAGGTGATCGTATGGTTTTTGGTCTTCATTTGGTTGGTTGATGTGGTAAATAATGTTTATTAATTTGGATAATGGTGAATCATCTTTGCATCCCTGGGATGGGTTCCATCCATCATGGCGAATAACATTTTACATGTGCTGTTAGGTTTGGTTTGCTAGTATTTTGTTAAAGATTTTTCCATCTGCTTATCAAGGATATTGGCCTTTAGCTTTCTGGCTTTGTTATTTCATTATCTGGTGTTGGTATCAGGGTAATTCTGGCTTCATAAAATGAGATTAAAATAATTTCCTCCATGTCAATTTTTTTTTAATAATTTGAGAAGAATTTGTACTAGTTCTTCTGTAAATATTTAATACAATTCAGAAGCAAAGGCATCTAGTCCTGCACTTTTCTTTGGAGACATTTTATTAGTGATTCTTTTTACTTTTTATTGCTCTGCTCAGTCCTGGCAAGGTATATGTCTAAGAATTTGTCCATTTCTTATAGGTTGTCCATCTGTTGGCATATACTTGCTCATCATAATCTTATATGATCCTCATATTTCTGTGGTATCTGTTGCAATTGCTCCTTTCTTGTCTCTGATTTTATTTATTTGAGTCTTCTCTTTTTTCTTAGTTTGTCTAAGTGAAAGTTCATCAAGTTTGTTTATGCTTATGAAAAACCTGATCATTTCAATGATCTTTTATATTCTTTTTAAAGTTTCAATTTTAGTTATTTATCCTGTGATTTTATTTATTTATTTTGGTACCAGGGATTGAACTCACGAACGCTTGACCACCGAGCCACATACCATCCCTATTTAGTGTTTTATTTAGAGACAGGGTCTTGCTGAGTTGCTCAGCATCTTGCTTTTGCTGAGGCTCGTTGAACTCACAATCCTCCTGCCTCCGCCTCCAGAGCCCCTGTGATTACAGCTGTGTGCCACCATGCCCTGCTCTCCTGTGATTCTTATTATTTTGAAGTTGGTTTGCTCTTGTTTTTCTAGTTTCTTGTGGTGCAAAAATAGCTTGTTCGCTTGAGATCTTCCTGCTCTTTTGATGTAGGCATTGATTACTATAAACTTCCCCCTGAGTACTTGTTTTGCTCTATCTCATAGGTTTAGATTTGTTGTGCTTCCATTATTCTTTGTTTCAAGAAGATTTTTAATTTTATTTGTAATTTCTTCCTTGATCAATGACAGTTTGGGAATAAACTGAGATTTGTTTTGTGGCAAACATATGATATATGCTAAAGAATGTTCTGAGTAGTATATTTATTTTGATACAGTCAGTAATTTTGAGTGTTCATCTGTTTGTATTAAATTTAACTCACATAAGGCACAGGCATAAGAATCTGAGTGAGACAGAACTATGTTCACCTTCTCCCTCTGCATCTTGCTCTTCATGACAGTGGACAAGTTATTTAACCATTCTAAACCTCAGTTTTCACATTTGTAAAATGGGTAAAATTGGTTAAGTTGGGATAGCAACTGAGATAATATATGTTTAGGCATCATATCTGGTTTATTAATTGGTGCTTACTAATTATTATTTGGTGTTATTAATTGTATTAATCAAGCTTATGTTAGATTCAAAGCCAGAGTACTTGGTGTTACAAATCTCCTGTTCATTTTCCTTTCTCTCTTTTCCACTCTTCATTCTGTCCCTAAGCATATACACCTTTATGATGTTGTCTCCCAAATTTTTTTATTTATATCTTTCTTTGATCCTTTCCTCTTTACCTTTCTTTTTGATTAGGGGTTTTAGTACTGTCTTCATCTCTTAAAATTAGAACCTAGCCAGGCATGGTGGCATATGCCTGTAATACCAGCGTCTCAGGAGGTTGAAGCAGGAGGATCACGAGTTCAAAGCTAGTCTCAGCAAAAAGCAAGGTGCTAAGCAACTCAGTGAGACCCTGTCTCTAAAAAAAA